AAGGTTCTGCCATGTACTGTTCAAGCTCTAGTTCCCCACAGGTCACCTGTCTCACACCACACAGCATTTTCTGTTAATGAGAGTTGCCACACTGCATCAGACCCAGGGAACAGTAAGAAGACATCAAGGTAGTGACCTTCATACAGAGAGTTCCTTTGTAGAAACACAAATAAAGAAAGAGCTAAAATTTCTGAGTTCTCTCAAGTTTGTACTCCACATATATTGCATCAATCTAATTTGTGACAGAGCTGTGGATAACTTGCAGCAATCATGTCTGAAAGTGCAAACTGCAACCTCTACACCACACATGGAAACCGAGTACAAAGACCTTTTGAACATCAAAAGCTGCAGCTCACAGTTTTGTTTCAAGGTCTTCCAGTCTGGTCAGGTTTAAATAGAAAGAACCCTCAAGCTGGTTGTCTCAGAAATAAATCAATGCAGATAATTAACCTATTATTATCATGAGAATTGATTAGCATAAAGAAACAAACAGTGGAGCTATCATACACACCACATTTATATTTGCTGTCCACATGTTGCACCTATTCCTCCACTCTTTTTCCTCCAACAACCATCAGAATAATTATTCTCAGAGAGCATTAGCTACAGCTCAAGCTGCAGGCATAATTTACACTTCCTTGGAGACCCAATTATAGGTTATAGGAAACAGTTCTGAAGACAACCTCCCACTCCACAGCTTCATGTTTATATAACTAAACCCCCCATTGTTTCACTTGGCTTTTGGATCTGGTAACTGAACAACAAAGTGAGAAGGGCTGACTAACTTTAAATCCATTCTATTACTAAATACATATATTACGAACTGTTTCCCTCTTTAGAATTACCTTTCTACTTCCTGTTTTAGAAATAAAACATGTATTTGGTGTTGTGGATCTAATTAAAGCAAATGAGTATTCTCCTTCAAAATTAATAGGCGTGATGCACTGCATCACTTGCCTTATATGATTGCATCAAAACAAGGTTATTTGGGTCCTGGAGATGTAACAGCTGTAGCACCAAGGCAGCCAAACTGAACTCCACTGCGAGACAAAACATGGTTTAAAGAACTCTGTAGATGTGTGTTTTTTTGTTTTTTTTTTTTTAAATATACAGGCTTAGTACAAGATAAAGCATTCTGTGTTGACACCTGAAGTCTCCTTAAGCCAGTACACCACACTTCTTATGCCAAAACTTCATACTGAAAATGAGCTTAGAGCCAAAGGAGTCCTAGAGCTCAATCTTTTTCTTGAAATAAACCCCCGTGAAGATATCTCTGACCACATTAAATGCAAGTGTGACCAATGCTTGGCTGAGTTGTGGATATGCCTCACTAACAAGCGTTCACAATTAGAGATCCATGGTTATATATAGCACCTACCTTACCAGCTAAAGAAAAACATACATTTTCAGCTGGAAGTAATAAAATGCAGCAAGTAGAAATCTGTCAACAGTTCAGTTGGAGTCACATTTGTTCTCTTTAATAGCCTCTCCTCATTTTATCCAATTGGTTTGCATTTCTCTAAAATATAACCTTGTTACAGTTCTTGGCATTTAAGTGGGGATCTCAGACCCTCTCTTGCATGTGGGAAGCTATCATAGCACAAGTGTGGACAGTTTTTGACTTATGCACAGAATGTGGATAGAAATTATGCAGTCATTTTCTGTGATTTTTGTTATCCAACCTAGAAAAGCACAAAAGGGCAAAGCACGTTTTTAAAATAGAATTTTGAAAAAATAGCTCAACATACAAGTTCAATATAAAAGCATGATATAATTAAATCTACCACTTCCCAAAGCAATTCACAAAGCTGGGCAACTACTAATCACCTGTTACAAACATAAAAGTATAACTTACAGGTTAGACAAATTACCCAATTCAGTCACAAAAGGTAAATAATACCAGGGATTGATATCAGTTTGCAGAAATCTGCAAAGTGTTCCAGCACGTCTTTCCTGATCTGCCTTGTTCTCAGGAGCCGAAATTGTGACTAAACAGTGATTACCTGTGCTTTGGGTTTATTTAAGAAAAAACCCTCAACAAAACTAACTGAGACAATCTTGCAAAAACATGAACTTCTCACAACAATGCACCTCCACCGCTCCCTATTTAGCTACTTTTGAAATTAATATGTTGGTGATATTTAAAGCACTAAATCAATTTAAATCGTTGAACATCTTATGGAGAGGAAGATTTGCACATAAAGGGTAATTATTTTGGCACCCACCTCCAATTCAGCAAGGAGGGATAAGCACAGGAACCCAGTTTTCAACGTATTCAGAACTCAGTGAGAAAGAGCCAGACTTAAGAAGCCAAGACAGCGTGCAAGAACCAATTTTGTATCTTCTCACATTGTGCTGCAAGTAGCAATTCACACAGGTAGGAGCCTGGAAAAGTCCCCATCTGAGAAATTTCCATCTCAGGAGATGAGGGAATTTTCTCTCTCTCTTTTTCTTACCCAGTCCCTCTTCTTTAAAATTATTTCTTCCCATACACTAAACAGACTGAAAGCACACAACATGCAGAGCTGAAGAGGAGAAGAATGTGGATTCTCTGTTACATGAAGAGAGGGAATAAAGAAAGTGACACTGGCCTTCAGAAAAAAAAAAAAAAAGAAAGCCAATCTCACAGAGATAAACTTCTTTTTCACTCAAATTAATTTCAAACTGTCAGTTCTCACACCTTTAAACAAATTCTGATGTGTATTCAGCTTTTCCATGGCTATCTCAGAGCTTGCATTCATGAGTCATCTTAAACAAATACAGGTATAAAAGTTTCCAACATCACCCCCCACCAAATATCAGGACCACTTACCTTCATCTTCTCAGCAATCTTAATACAAGAGCAATAAACTACACAAGAGCTTTATGTTAGTATAGTACTATTTATAGTTAAGCATACCAAAAAGCACAAATTCAAGTATGCTTTTGTAGCAAATATCAGATGGACTTTACTTGGAAATATATTTACTTTTTCTATTCTTATATTTTGCTTAAAGAATTCATAGTGAGTAAGGAACACATTTTTGTTACAGGCAGTATTTCATGTTTACTCAGCTAAAACCATCTAGCACCTGTATTTACAGTTTATCACTGGTGCTTATATATGATCATACTTAAAACTGAAAATTGGGTTGGAAGTGTACTGCCCATAACTCAGCAATCAGTGCAAATAAGACAAGCAATGTTTAGCATCATGCTATCAGAAGCTTTCACAAATTGATCCTGGCTGACCTACAATAGTTGCAGTTTCTGTCACTGACTTAAGTAAGAGACACAGATGTTTTGGTTTTGCTGCTCTCCTTGCTCATATATTAACTGAGTCACTGCACCTGGTGTCTCACTTCATTTACTGGATCATCATCGTTTGTTATTTCTTTAGACTTGTTCTTTCCCATAGAAGTTCCCTATTTACAAGAGAATAAGGAAGCAAACAGAGAAACTTCAAGAATACAGAAATAAACTATTATTTGTTCCAGTTTGCTACAGACAAATAATTCCCGATCCAAGCAGGAGCTTGCACTTCATCCAAGATCACCAAGTGGTATAAATGCACTTTTCCACTTGGCAAACACACACAGGGAGGAGAGAGAAATGGCTTAGCTGTCAAATGAGAATACATAAAAAGTAATGGAGTGGTTGTTTTCAGCAGTGTTTCATTAGGAAGTAGGTCCCTCAGACTTTAAGCCCACTATCATTGGGCATTAAAAATTTTAAGGAGACATTTACTTGAAATGACTGCTTTGCTCTCTTTGTCTTCTTCTCTTACCTTTATTTCTTTTTCTGTCTGTACCCTACGCATGAATAGCCTTTCTCCTTTGCCATTAGGCTAATCCCTTTTTCCTTTACCTTTTGTGTTTCGTTAGCCTTTCAACAGTGATCTCCTAACACTGTTTCCATTTGTTCTCAAACCTGAACTTGTCTAGTTTATGTTACCTCATCAATTCAGATTACCATCACCTCAGGGAAGGTATCTTCTCTTCCTACATGTTTCTGAAATCTGCTATGGAAGAGATAATAAATGACGCCTCTTATTCATCTAAAGTTCAAAGCCTGTGAAAATACAAGTAATCTACATGCCTTTGCTCTTCTTATAAATTAGTAATGAGTCTGGAATGCTTCCCCATGGCAATTAAGTCTTACTCAGTTAAAATGACTCTATTCTATGATCTAAGTCCTGTCTTATTCCAAAAAAGTTTCTTATTTTCTATTAACATCACTACCAAACACTGTACAAATAACTTCAGGATTTCAAAAGCCACCATCACAAAATGCTTCTTGTCCTCACTAGTTTACTCAGCCTGTTAAGGTGAGTCACAGTATATCCTACAGAGGGCTCAGGTAGAGAGAAACCACATTTACAATGAGATAAAAGATGGTGTTTCAGTGTACCGCGATACACATATTCTAATAAAAATTATTATGACCTCTGTTGAGAACAAAGAACCGGATGTTTTTGTGTTGGTGTTGGGGTGGGGGAGGGCAGGGG